TGTATACATGTGTGGGAGTGTTTGTGTGGTGTGTGAGTGTAGGGGGGTGAATGTGTGTGTGTGGTATGGTGTGTGTGTGAGTGTATGTGGGGTGAATGTATAAGTGTGTGTGTCTGTGTGTGGTATGAGTGTATACATGTGTGTGTGTTTGTGTGATGTGTGTAGGGGGTGTAGGGTGTATGTGTGTGAGCGTGTGTGTGGTATGGTGTGTCTGACTATATAAGTGTGTGTGTGTGTGTGTGTGTGTGTGAGTGTGAATGTGTCTGTGTGTGTGCTTAGTAAAGTGTGGGAAGCCCAGGCTCGGATCAAGGAGGTGGGGGAAAGGACAGGAAATAGAGGCCACATCAGACCCTGGATTCTAGGAGAAATAACACCTATGGACAGGCACCCCGAACCATGGTCTCAGGCTGACACCTCTGCCTTTGTCACAGGATCTCCACATGGTTACTCACTGAGGCTCCACCTTTGAGGTCTCAGAATTAATGAGTCTAGAACCCCTCTTACCACACACTGCAAACATTTCCTAAGTTTATCTACCAGCATGGGTGCCAACGCACAGGGAGGCTGGGAAAGACTGAGCGGGGGGGAACTGTGGGCACTGTGGCCCCATTAATGACCCAGAAGCCTTGCCCCTCCCTCCCTCCCTCCAGAGAGTGAGTGTCCAGTTCAACAAAGGTGAACACGGCTTCGACAACCAAGACATGGACATGAAGACCATCTTCCGGGCAGTGGGTCCCAGCTTCAAAGCAGGCTTGGAGGTGGAGCCCTTTGAGAGTGTCCATGTTTACGAGCTCATGTGCCAGCTGCTGGGCATTGTGCCTGAGCCCAACGATGGGCATCCTGGCGTCCTGCGACCCATGCTCCGATCAGGTGAGGCAGGGACACGCCTCTGCTTGAGCCCATGCTGGCATGTACATGCCTGTGAGCTTGCACGCCTTCAACCAAGGCACTGCATACACCCCAAGGGGGTGTTAAGAGAGAAGCCTAGGGGCTTATGGGGACAGTGGGGACCCCTGGTCCTCGATTAGCCTGAGGAGTTGAGATCCAATCCTCTCCTCTCCTCTCCTCTCCTCTCCTCTCCTCTCCTCTCCTCTCATGAACTTTCTGTCTTCCCTAGGGTCCGCTCTCCCGATCAGCAGTCAGCACCACTTAGTGGTGGCGTTGATGGCGATCCTAACATGTCTGGCCAAGGTTGTATAATCCCCCACCACTTAACCCAGTTCAGAGGCCCAGAGAGACTCAAAGGATGAAGCCCATGTGCTTCCTGCTTCTTAGCCTGAAGTTCCCTCCCCACAGGCCCTTCCCAGATCCTCACCCTCCCCTCCCTCCACTTTACCCACCCACTCCCACCTCCAGCACGGGAGGCAGAACACAGCCACTTCTGGAGTCTACGAAGCTGGTGACTCCAAGCAGCCTGGAAGCCAGAGAACCAGTCCTGGGGCCCTTCCAGTTCAGGCTTGGACATCTCTGCAACAATCATACTGCCCCAACCCCAGTGCCTCCCTAGTGTCTACCCAGAGCCACCCACTCCTTCCTGCCTCTGTCCAGAGCTCCAGTGCAGACCTCAAACCTCATACTGGACTGGTTTGAGGAGAACTGCAAGACTAGCTGGTTCCAGAATGCACCAGGACCCAGCCTCACTCTGAGGACATCCCAGCATGACTGAGTGACAAGACCAGCCTGTTTTAGTGTCCTGTGCAGTCACAACCCTTGGGCAAAGCAGAAGGTCATTCTACTCTTCCAGAAACATGAAACAGGAGCTCACTCAATGCTGGGATGGTGGGCCTGGGGCTTGGGGACATACAATGAACATGATAATCCCGGCTGGGCTGTAGTTCTG